CTTGTACTTTCCACAATGCTAGAATTTCCATGCACTTTGATTTGAGGGTAGATGGTAGCGCATGGTGGGAACAGCCTTAAGAAGGAATGACTATCAGAGGGGCTTGACACTTTTAGAGACAATTCAGAAATGTATACATCAATTCGATCTTGCCAATATTCAAAACAAGATATTTGTCTGATTTCCTACATGCGAGTACAATCTACTGTAGGTAGCCTTATTGTCATTCTTTCATTTATTCAACTAATACTTTTTGTACTTTACTCCTTTCCAAGTCTACTGGAAATACAATGGCAAGCAAAGTAAACATGGTCCCTACTTTCCTGGACTTTATCTTAACAGCAGTGAGAAGCCATTGGAGGGTTCTAAACAGTCAAGTGACATGACATAGTTGAAGTCTTAGAAATGCAATATGCTACACTGAGTTTGGAATAGGCAGAGAGAGCAGTCCAGGATATAATATAGGTGGCTGCTGTACAATCTGGGTAAGATATGATGTTGACCTGAGTTTAGGTAGAAGCAGTGGAGATAGAAAAAGTAGACAAAGGAGATATTTAGGAAGTAGTAGTATTTTGTAACTAATTGTATGAGAAAGAAAAGTGACAATATCTTCCAATCTACCGAGGACAATTTCAGTTTTAGCCTTTTGTCCTGTCATAATTATTAAGAATACCCCCTCTCACTATCAGAAGCATCCCAATTTGGGTGATAAATTATATTGTTAATCCTGGAAATAAGGAGAGAGAGGAAGATTCAAGAATGATGCCCAGATTTCTGGCTTGAGCAACAGGCAGAGTTGTGTCATTCCGTAGATAGTTGTGCCATTTACTGAAAAGGGATACATAGAGGAAGGTCTGGTGTGAGAATAAAATTATGAGTTTAGATTTGAATATGATGTATTTAAGGTGACTGTCTTACACTGGAGTGAAGACATGTAACAGGGATGAGATGAATTTATGGGCTGGGAATTCAGATTGGAGCCCTGATTGATTCATGGTTGGAGATATATTGATTTGGGAGTGATCAGAACGGATGGTAACTGAAGTTATGGAAGTAGATGAAATCCCCAAGCCAGAAAGAATGGAACAGTGTCAAGAGGTCCAGGTTCTTAAGAAACTCAAAGCAGCACCTATTTTTAATGGAAACAAGGATGGACTCACAAAAGAGTTCTAGAGAGGAGGGGGCAGAGTCATAAGAAAACTGGGAGATGGCCCAGTGATAGAAGTCCCAGGAAAGGAGTATTACAAGAAGAAGGAAAGA